TCGCTATTTCGATCGTACACTGTATATACTACTTTGTTAATTTCACTTGTGTGTAACTTATTACTACATTAATTTGTCTACACTTTATAGTTGTAGTATTCAGTAGTCCTCTGATTACTTACATATTTTCTTATTACCAAAATAGCTTTAGCGGGTGATTGCTAATAAAAAAGAAAATACCAAAGACGTCTATCTTTTTCAGTTCCGAATTCTACAGTTCTCATTGAAAGTTAACGCATATGAATACGCTGCACGCTACATACAAATAAAAAACGAATAAAGCAACGAGGAAAATTGCATTTTAGTAATTTAAATCATGTAAATTAGACAAAGTACGTAATATTGTATTATTATTTGCCGGTAAACGTTAATAGAATTTTAATTGTAGGCTCAGTGAAGTGTACAAAGAAAGGGAGGAAAATAGGGTGTTTGCTTTTAAGTAATTCCCTTTCGTACATTCTTGCTGCCCATTCAAGCTTAAAAATATCATAACAGCATTGACTTTGGTGAAATTAACGTCCATAAAAGCAACGTGATTTTACGAGGTAATGTCAATCGAAGAAATTGTTATTCTTATCTTTCCTTTTCCAACAGATTTTCATGATCTTCCTCGTAACATCAGCATTGCATAATGTGTGCCCACTTTATCATAAACTTGAAATTAGAAGCGCCTTATCTCGAAAGACGCGTGATAATAAATCACAATAATATTGGAATCTTACATGTGTCCTGATTAGATTGATTTAGCGATAGCCTATTTGACAGCACATTTGTTTTTAACACGTCTGTGGTATTATTAATGTGCTATCGTAAATTTTTTCTCATTGACACAATTCTTACACTGCACGTATCCGTACGTACACCGGATCTGTCCACGCGAGAGCTCACGAGCAGCTCAGTTTCCCCCACTCTGTTTACCCGTTGTTATGGAAACCATAACGCCAACTCTCGGCTGCGCGAAGAACTAATGACACGTGGCAAGTGCAAACAGTATGGTCTCCTCTGCTTCGTTAGTAGCGAGTAATCTTTACCTCCTTCCAAGAGGTAAGGGAATACAAGACGTAATGGGCCCCTCTCGTCGACAGGCATTGTTTATATTATACTTTTTAATTATGACAGATTGAAGAATTACCACTAAGTTAGGATTCCGGTTAATTGGGACACATTGGGACCGGACTAATTCGTCTCAAAAAAGCGAATTTCAACAGGCAACATCTGAACACGTAAAAAATGAAGCTAGAAACGATTTATTGAAAAACGTGTGTGATATTCGGTCTTGAATACAAATGTGCGTTTAAGCATGCAAACAAAGCTGACAATAAGTAATAAAATAACATTAACGAGTAATCAAAAATAAGTATTTATATTCCGTTCTTCGGTATATTGGCGGTCACGCTTAACCTCGAAAAGGGCTCGAAATTAATGCAAATTTCGTTCATTTTTACGTCACTGTCTGGAAATACGTTAAGTACTACAAAATCTAGATGCAAATTATAGGAATACTACGGAAAGTTAATAAGCAAAAGAAAATGTAAACGAACGTTGATATTCCATATTTCAGTTAATGAACTTGTTGCAGTGTAGGAATGTAAAGATTGTTGCAATTGTAATTGGTGGTTAAATATGAGTAGCGTCGATCTAATAAGAAAATAATACTACAAATGTTGTGCAAACTCTACTTATTGTTGGAATCTCGTCAAATTAGTTTGTCTTGTAAACTCTCTGTGATCAGTAGCTCTGTTAAGATGGACTGTAACCCTCAAAGAATAAAAATAGCGTGCTCGAAAGCAACCGTTACGAAAATTGTTCTTTAATTACAAATATTTCTTTTTTTTCTCTGGAGTTAACGATGTGTAATTTCACAAAAGAATAGCGATATACAAGCACAGTTTAATGATAGACGACGAAGCAGCTGCGATTCCATTTCTCCAGATTTGGAAATATAATTATGAATTTAACTGAATTATTACTATTGGAACATTGAAACAAAATTTTCTCGAAAATATTTATAACTATACATGAAATTATTTGGAAATTGTCGTAAGAAATTATGAAGTAACATATAAGGTTAAAGTTGCGCAATTATTTTGAACGTTCACATCTCCGACATACACTACTGGCCAAAAGTTTGGCATCACCGAGCATTGCAATTTACAGAAAAATTTCCGGAAGAAAGTCAGCGACTTTGAGGATTTTTTATCGTTCGAATCAATCGATATAGGATAAATTGGTAAACGTAGAATTGAGATAAACTTCAGATCTGTAAAAAGTTGGCAGCAGATTTAATATCGATGGAAAGTGGGAGGTGATTCGAAACTTTTGGCCTGTAGTGTGTGTATAATAATTGCATACCTATAAAGAAATTTCTATGGATAAATATCCAGAATTTTACCACAGTATAATTATCTTTGCAAATAAGTTTCAGTAATGCTTAAAATCTGGAATTTGCCTGGTTCTAGTAATGGGAGTATAAAAAAACTTGCGACAAGAATCTGTAATAATTATTTAAGTACATTGTTCCTCTTTTACTAATGCAAATGCTAGTATTTCTTGTTTTCTAAGTATCAAGCATCGAGTGAAGTAAAACTGAAGAAGCCAGAACGAGTATCGATCGGAATGGTGGCTGATTCCAGCAGATAGAACTGATACAGCTGTAACGCAGAGAGTTAGTCAGAGTGCGTTTGATGTTCATGCCGAAGTATTAAAAATTCACCAACTTTTGTCGAAATAACATCAACGAATCGAGCATTGCGCAAAAATTAAATTAAACAGTTGCGCTGTAAGGCTTTTTCTTCAATTATCTCACTAAGCTTGCTGAAATTATTTGAGGTGTCTTCCAGATTTCGACGGAAGTTCTGTATGTAGCGACAGACATACAACAATTTATGTTAAAAATTTCTTGATTACGTTACATTCTTCCGGGCTACACAAGTAGTACATGGCCTTGTATGTATTGTATACTTGTATACAGTTAGGGATCGAGTGTTGGTTAAGTGCGCACGCCTGCAGTTCAACTTCAAAGTCGTGTTTTCGTATAGGAAACGTGATACGATAAGAAATAAAGTTGTAACTTGTATTCTTCTTTTTTGGAAAATCGTTCTATTTTTGCTTCTGTTGTCATTTTCGCTTTACTTCGTTTCATCACAGTCAGACGTGCTAACGAACAAGGAATCTGATAAAACTAAATCCTCCCTAGATTTAAATGAACGACCTTTTTATGATTTAACCATAAAAGAAGATAATTGTATCGTAATAAAACAGCATTATTTGCAGCCATATAGTAACTTATATGACAATTATCTACGGCTAAGTTAACTCCAACGCGACTCTTTGTAAACTGACGAATTATTATAATCAAACGCTTTTGTGTAGAGTGTATTTTTCACGGAATTTCTAGGTTGAAATGAGCAATTTTTATTTTTGGAACGATTTCACCGTGTTACGTTACACGATTATTGAAAACCAGACGGAGAATTTAAGCGACAGAAATTACAGTAATGTGTTGCTTTATCTTATTGAAAATTGGCGGTTCGTTGTAGAAGTAATTGAAAATCAAATTTGTGTAAGTGTTTGTTACAGGTAAATTGTGAAAATAGTATTAAACACTGTTAGAGTAATTAAAGTAAAATGTTAAAGCGGTAAAAATCGTAAAATTATTTATTTATTGACAACGCGAGAAGACACACGATAGAAATTCTTTTACATATGATTTCAGATTTTCTATTGAGATTAAGTTCGTGTTGCGTGAAATTCAACGTAATATCGTTACATTTCAAATTAAACATTCGGTGCACGTCTCTCTTTTTATCTCACCGGTGAACAACTTTAACCCTTTGCATTCGGAGGTCATTTTGTAACAGAAAAGTTTGCAAATCGAAGGTTTGAAATTTTTTAAAATCAACGCAGAAATAAACTGTACTGTTTTACTTAAATATTCAACGTATTCTCTATTTCACTATAATGAACAAATTTATAGAGGCCCCATAGATCTGCTCTCTGACTTGATTAATTTATTCACCAAGTGACGATTGTTTAATGTCGCTGCTCAGTCACCACTCGATTACAAAGGGTTAATACTTGATCAAATATTCCTCACGTAAGAATTATAATTGAGAAATTATTCAAACTTACTTTTACTCGCGTCAGTTTTTTAATAAAACTGATTTATGTTACTTTGTCCGATTTGAAGAAGCGTATACCTATGCACTATAATATTATCGACGTACAGATGTACGGTATCATGTAGCGAAGATAACAGCGAGTAATTGAAAAAGCATTTCTTGTTGAATATACTTAATAGCGTAACTCGTGATAAAAAGGTTGCCGCTATTCTTATCAAATAGCGAAATGAATTCTCAGTTGTTGGCGAATAGTGCGTTGAAACAAGAAATACGATAAAAGACAGGGAGCTAGTTGAAAATTGCAAAGCACAGACTTGCAAATCATACGCAAATGTTAAAGCTGCGTCGATTTAAGGAAGTGCTTTTCCAAATTTCTCTAGAATTTGTGACGCTAGAATTTCATAGACAAGTAACGTAGAAACAACGCACAAAACATGTACACACGAAGCGGTAACTATTTTACACTCACAATCGGTTAAACAAAGTGACAGATAATTAAACACTATTCATCAAGCATCTTTCGGTACGTTTCAAATTAGGATCTTTTAAATAAACACCAGAATTGCGAAACTTGCGGCACGTTTTAGAGAAGAGAAGAAGACAATAGTCGAGAACACGTTTTGTACAACCGAAACGCACAGAAATAAGGAAAATTACGTTTACATTCAACGTCCACTATTTTTCACTCTTCGACTCAGGCGATAACCTGAACAACTTAGTCTACGCCGATGTAGCGAATTATCAAATGCTGTAATGCACAGTGTTTGCAAAGCAGTACACGAAAATGAGATAAATTTTTGTCAATTTTCACCGTACAAAGTCTTTAAAATTGCGGTGTTGAAGTCTCGATATCTTAGCAGTTTTATTAACAAGTCCTACCGAGGTCATGCAAAATCACAGCTTACGAAATCGTCTCACAAGCTCTTTGTACGGGCGAAACCAGAAGAAAGGAGTCAGGAAAGGGATGTCCTTTGGAAGTTTCACAAGCGCGCCGGTTGAAAACGGGATCACACACTCACGGGATGCCGAGAGGCTGACGGTCGACGAAAATGTTTGAAACGCGATCCACCCGTGATTCACGGATCGCACGCGATCCACGAGCCGGCTAGAATGATCAACGGAGATCTAACGCGAGCCACTAAACACCGTGCAACACTTGAATCCCCCGAGCCGAGCAACATTAAGGAAAGAAGCATGCGTCGAGCTTCCCTTTCTCCGTAAAACTCTTTCAAACACACGTGCGCACACCCACTTAAATAGACGTGCGGTGGTATAGGTGAACGCGCACGCATTGGTCACCGTCATCGCGGTTACACGCGTCATCCACATCCGCGCGCATCTTCCCTCTTCTGCGAGCAAACGCGAGAAAGAACACCGAAGCGAGTGAATTCTTTTGCTACGAGTCGAACCCGAGATAAAAGGGACGAGACTTTAAACGATATGGACAATCGGTTGCGCAGCTGAAACGGATAGGTGAAGTTGAACTTGACGCGAAAATTTTCTCGCTTGATCTTGAGACGCGTTGGAAATCTGAGAGCGAGAGACAATGGTGTGCTGTGTGAAAAAGAGTTGTGGATTGAACAGTCTTCGTTGTTGATATATCAATAGAACGTTGTAAATATCTGGTAATTAAATATAATTAAAGTGCAATTACGCGAGCAAAGGTAATATCTGTTTCTATGCGCAATTCCATAAACGTCCAAGTGTACGATTTTGTACGGATACGTGCAAATAATCATTTTATTACATGAAAATCTGGGTGCCGATTTTATCAGGACATTTCGCGCATGGAAAAACGATACCAGGGGAAACGAAGTGCTAATATGCTGACTGATTACTGCTGGACACTCAAACGGGATGTTTCTTAACCCCTTAACCTATGATTTCTTTTCTGACTGTGCATCTAAGCGTCAGCCATTTTCTGTTTTAGTACTGTATCAGGCAAGAAAAGCTAATCTGTCACAGATTAATTACATTTAACAATCCTCAGTTTTACAAATTCAAACGAAAACTAGGATTACAATGAATTTTTCTCACTAATATAACTGTTTCTCTCACATCTTCGCCACAATCTCTGCCACGAGTCTGACACGTTGTCATGCGTTAAGGGGTTAAGGGGGTCTTCTAGTGTGACGGTTTCAAAAAATCGATTTTTATTTTTTTGCATATATCGAAGGTACAACTCTTTAAGAATGTACTCCTGAAGTTTTATAGTTGTATTCGATAAAATAACGAAGTTATAGCTCGTTTAGTGTGACAGATCAAGGGAGAATGTAAATTGCACTGAAAACTTTAAACGCGTTGTTCTCGGAACCATGTTTCCTGAAATGGTTGCCACGATCTGGCAAAAACTACTGAACCAATCGAACTCAAATTTTGCACATGTCTTCAGAACATGTGTGGGTATGGTCGGTAGTAGAATTATGCCAAAATATACATTTTTCTGATTTTTAGAGCCTCTGAAAGACGAAGAAAAGTCGAAAAACTCGATACTTCGTATTCAAAGTGTCGCCATTTTTTGAATTTTCAATACTTTTCTTTTATTCTGCTACCGACCATAGCGACATGCATACTAAATAAGAATCAATTGGATTTTTTAATTTTTGATAAGCAGAACAGCTCAGATCATGGCAACCATGGACCTACTTTTTTCTTTCATGCTCCTGTTTGACGTGTTCCACAGCAGCCATATCTAATTATTTTTCAACAAGAAAAATTTGTAACGATTCTCCAAGGACAAGTAAATACATAGGAATAAAGCTCATGTTAATAACTGTTACCGTACTTCTGTAATAAATTAGCAAGGAGGGCCTAAAAAAACGGCCGTCACACTAGAAGACCCCCTTATGGGCTCGGGAGGAACGTTATAGGAGCATTTGATCATAGGAGGAAATATTGTACAAGTGCGATGTCTGGTAGATTATCTAGTTGTGCTTCAAAGTATTTCGATAACAGATGGAAAGCAGCAGATACGATCGAGGAAATATTTTGTTCCGAATGATAAGGATATCTTACAAAATTCAATTGATTCATTTCTAGCTACTCTGTAACACGAATTATGATCTGGTGTCCTATTGTTAGCATGAGATACGACTACACTTTTAAGATCTTGCGTTATTGAACATAGTGGAATGTGGCCGTTTATCGTGAAAGAAGATTGATCGTTAAATTATCTTTCCACAAGTCTGTCACTTTTTCATCGCTTTTACTTGTTGAAATTTGTGTAGATAAATACTATCTGAACTACTTCGTTGGAAATCGTTAATTAAATACTTCACGGAGCAATCCTGCGGAAAGTGCTCCATCCTTTGATTTATTTGCATTTTTACCAACATGTTGCGATTTGATTTTATCAGATAATATTGTTTCGTGTTATTCCACGATAAGAATCGAACGATTTAAATTGCGTATACAAAAGAAAGTATAACAAAAAAAACAATATCGGAATAAATCGAAAATTCTGCATTTAAGGTGCTTTACAACATTTCGAACTAAGGACAAATAAATCGAATGTTTAAAAAATTCATTTCGTATCACCCTCAGTAAGACAATATTTCTGGTTTTCATAATGTCATGAAAAGTCAATTTTTACGCGAGCTCTTATTTATAAACACAATGCACAAGATTGCTCGGTGAAACCATATGTGACATTAAACAATGGTAAATGTGAAATACGGCCTTCTAAGATTTTATCGTTTACACGTTAAATTTATTTGATTCAAAATCATTTTTCAACTTCGAAGTTTCAATAAGGTTTTGGATAAGTAGCAGCAAGTTGTTGATAATAAGATGTGAAATTAAGGAAGAAGCACGGATATTACTTATGACCAGCAAAGTATGGTGCCTCCTTGATCTATTTTCTTACTCGTGCTACATAAGGTCTCCAAATGTACAAATTGTGAATGTTAACTAAGGAGAATGTGAACAAAATGAATTATGACTAAAGTCAATTGTATGCACGTCAGTTTCTGTTACACACGTTGTTGCTGTATTCGCGTTATTCAAGTAAACGTACAAGGCTTATACAAATCTACAGGGTGACTCATTTTAATCTACTAATGCGTAGGTATACGTGTGCTACGTTGTGTAGATAAAAATGCTTTTAGGTGGGTATTGAAATTTGTTTGGCGAAGGTTAAGGTTATGCGATGATCACTTAAGTTTTTCTAATATGATATACCGAACGACAGGGGGGTAAAGATAGATTTGTGAAGTGGAACGATGAAATTTCCCCGAATTTTACGTTAGCATACGTCTAATCAAAATAAACTTCTGTTTGCATATTATTATATTCCCCTCGAGTTCCTCCAAAAAATATTTTCTCCGACGCGGTTCACTTTCCGGAATATCTACATGAGTAGATTGTAATCAGTCACCTTGTAGATTTAGTACAATACGATAAATTACATGCAAAGCGTGCAAAACGTTGAACAAGTAAAAGAAAATGAGGAAAGAAAGAAGAGAATAATGGCAAATTCAAAAATTCATCGTATTTTCGTATATTTACCAATTAAAAATTACCTGCTGTGTTTGCAAAGTGTTCGTATAAAGATAACATACATAATGGGAAATAATAAATAATAAAAGATAATGGCGCGTGCGTTGGCTTGTTTTGAATAGTCAAAGATAACGCGTGTAGGAATTATTTTAGTTTTGACGTACTTAAGTTGTTTATAAGACCAATTTCACTGAATATGTTACTTACGTTTCTCTTGCCACTTTGTGTATTGTTTTATACTCAAAACTACAGCTCTTTTTCTGCAGACTAATAGGTGCAGAACTAGTATTTCAATGTTTTCATATCTACAGGGTGTCCCGTTAAATCGCGAAACCCGACAACTGGATGTATCTTTTTTTTCGTTTCTGAAGTTATGGAAAAGTGTTTAAGACACAATTGCAATGCTCTCGAAGGAGACATGCGATATAAGGAGAACTCATTCTTCAGATATTTCCAGAACACCGATACCTACTCCTTTTTGCACGAAAACACAGTTTTTTCTTCTGCACCACACTTTCCTCGTGTGTTTTAATTACAACTTTAAAGTAACCTCGAACACGAAAAAAGTGATCAAGTTCCAAAGCATTATTAGTCGAATTCACTTTTTGTGTTGATAAATGCTCAAAGTGACACGACAACTCGAATAATTAGAATTTACGTCAATAGGGACGATATTACGTCAAAAAGGATCTTGCTTGAAATTAGAGTTACATTTACTAACACAAACTACAAATTTACGTAAGTATCATTTTAACGCTATCTTGGACCTTGGTCACTTTTCTGTTGTTTGAGGCCATAATTCTGATAAGACTGAAAAGAGCTGCGTATTAGGTGAAATTTGTCAATGAAGCTTAAAGTTTATTTAAAGTGTAAAAAATGCAGCAAGTATTCGCCGTTGCTTCCTATAACTTCGAGCCATTTATCGGGCAAGTGACGAATTCCATCCACTGATTTGAAATGGGTATCAGATGAAACGTGTTGCATCGATCGGAAAAAGTGGCAATCCGAAGGAGCAATTCATATGCTTTCGTAGCATTTTTTCCTTGTTGGAATTGCACTGTATCTGTCGCTATTATTGACTCTATTGAACCGAACGTTTTCTAAGGTTATATTTAGTTTTACTCTAAATTCATCGTCATTTCCAACAGCTGTATGTCAACATTTCATAATAGCAGAAGAGAGGGAGAATCAACTGATTTTAAAATTAATTCTCTAACTGTTTACAAAAGTTTGGATTATTCATTTGTACACCAAAAATATGCCTTCCTGCATAAGAATACCAGTTAAATAATAATTAGAATATGTGCATACTTTTCAAAAATGTTTGTGTCATCTTTAATCCTGGTGCGTTCTTCCGTTCGAGTATGCACTTAAGGTGTCTGGGTCAAAAGAGACCCGGAGACCTTGGTGTGTTACAATTTCCGTTCCCAGCACGCCGTATGAACCTAGACGAGAAATTTTTAATACAATCTTAAGAAAACACAAACTTGGTAACAGCAAAAATGATTAAAAAAGTGAGAAAGTGGTGGGTCAAAAAAGACCCGTAGACCGGACTGGGGTTAGCACGTTAAGCGCGGCGTCAGTCCGTGGTGACTGACAGTGAACTTTCCGTTTAGGCGGCGTCGGTCCGTGGGGACTGACAGTATCATGTTTAAAAAATAAATGTTATGCACGTCTCCTTCTTCTTTTCACACACTTCTATCAACCCGGATT